TACTACATATAAATCAACTGTTTTTTTTTTCTTTTTGCGTTGAAGTGTAGTCAGTTTACAGTGTTCTGTAAATTTCTGGTGTACGGCATAGTGATTCAGTTATACATAAATTCTTTTCATATTCTTTTTCATTATAGGCTAGTTCAAGGTACTTAATATAGTTCCCTGGACTATACATATAGCAGGACCTTGTTAGTCTATTTTATATATAGTAAAAATCTGCGTCTGCAAATCCCAAACTTTGAACTTACCCCTCCACCTACCCCTTTCCCACCCTGGTAACCATAAGTTTGTTTTCCATGTCTGTGAGTCTGTTTCTGTTTTGTTCAACTATTAACCCTATGCTTCATGTTTCAAAAAGTCACATAGATTAAATATTTAATCATTTTACCAGTATTTTGAAAATCCTTTTCCTCAAGAGATCTGAGGTGAAAGTATTATTTTTATGTTTCAGATACTTAAAGCCCTTTGTTTAATAACTGCTCAGAATTTGGGAAATGTCATGACTGAGTGGCCTTATATATTATGCTTATGACCAAATGGTAAGGCATTCTTTCTTCTATAGGGAGGTTGGGGCAAAATATGAACTTAAAGACATTTTCTTTGATTCTGAAAGAAATCCATGTGTAAATAGTGTCAGTTAAAACTCCTGTCCTGAAGTCATTCTAGAATAGGTGTGCTTTTCTTTTATATGCACTGTGTCCTCAGACATGTTTCTCAGTTACTTTGACCTAGTTCCTCACCTCTAAAGTGGAGGTAGTTCCTTACCTCAAAGTATTGCAAAATTGTTGGTTTCAGGTCTGTTTGGGGCCTGCTGTCCTCACCTCAAGAAAGTCAGAGAGACCGATAGGGTACACGTTTCAGCTTCCCCTAGCCACTTTGAGAGAGTAACCACAAAGCCCCAAACAAAACCAGGTATTAGAGATTCTCTGTCCTCTTGACTCTTTAAGCTCAAAAACAGGATGGGAGCAGACAGGAACCATCAGCTTCCTCTGAGGGCAGAGGAGAGGAGAGGTTATCCCCCATTTCATGCTCAGTTGACAAATGTG